GGAAGACTCATTCGCAAAAAAAACACCAATAAAACGTTTAGCTAAGCGAAGCGCTGAAGTGAGTTAGCGCATGTTTTCGGAGAATATACTGAATGGAAAAATTCTTGATAACTGACAAATGAGATGAAAGAGATGACAAATGACGGTTGAGTAGTGTCAAAATCAAAGTAGTGACGAGATGTACATTAAAAGTAAGCTCTGAGGAAAAACCATTACTTACCCGAGACGGATCATTAGATTTGTCAGAAAGAGATGTTTAAAAGTTCAGCAACATACGTTTTCTTTATTTTAAAGACTTATGTGAACATTAATTTGAGTGTGCAAATCTTTCAGCATTATTGAAAATGCGCAAATGTAGTGTAACAAACTTCAGTTACAGATTCGGTTAAAAGCACCGGTGGCAAGAGAACGGGAAGATTACAAAACTTTTAGGGGAATGAAGCTACCAATGAGTGACGCAATGAGTGATGCTGAGATCGAGAAATGATCGCAATTCGATGTATATATTTATACATTTTCGTCAAATATCCCTTGTTTTCAACCATATCATTAAAAAAAGTGTAATGAAATAAACATTCCATCTTATCATTTATCTCTTACTCTTATACCTGATAAAATTATGGCTATTCACATATGCTAAAATCTTTGGGAGAATAAAAAGAACGATTGAAAGTGGGAAAGTTTAGTTTGTCAACTTATCAGCGAGAAAGATTCGCCACAACAGTGCAGTGTACGCATTAGGTGATTAAACTGTCGCCTTACTTTAAGTTTTATAATGTTAAAATAAAAGAAAGTCCTATTTGCACTTCTGTTTGTTTACCTAATGTTTGATGAAAAGAAGGTACCAAAGGCATTGAAAAGGTACTAAATAAGATACTGTTGAAATTTTTTAGACATAATTCGTTTCTTTCGTGGCATATAAAAGTGAAGTAGTTGAGTTTTTCAGACACAGCTTTTGTGGAATTCTTTAAAATCTTATTTAACATATCCGACTGCAGCTTCCTAATAATGAATAATAACCCCCCATCATCCGCATCCCAGGCCTTTATTTGAGATATGCACTTTGCATAAAATCTCGATCAGGCCGCGTTTATAAAAGTGGAGCTCGCTGCTGGTGAAGATGCGATTGCGAGGATGGTTGAAGTGCTGCGGAATGGGGAGGAGGAAGGGAGGGCGGGAGTGTGCATAAGCTCCGGTGAGTTCTGGGTTTTTTCTTCCGGTTGGTATTTCGGACCGACGAGAGTGTTACGGTATTAAGCAAAATTGAGTGAAATAGTGTAGGCAGAAAAGATCGATGGAATTGTTCTGCGATGGCTCATATTTCCAAATATCACTGTATAAAGTGACTTGACAGGTTTAACTTTCATTACCTTGTGATCCAATACTTTACAATATTAGACATACTAATGAAGATCGGGTGCGGTGTTGTGATATTTAAATAACTGGATATTCATTTCTGCAGATATGCTTCGTATTTGATGATCGGAAGTTATTGTTGTATGTTTGTGAGAAACAATTCAAAAAGGATTCAAACTGCTTGCCGGAGCTACTTCTACTTTACGCGAGAGCCGTCTGCTCGCCAATAACATGCTAAAGTCCCGCAAAAAGGACAAAGACGGCAAAGTATGTAACCTTTAACAGTTATGGGTAATGGATAATATAAGAATTTTAGGGAAGCATGATTATCTCAGAGATATTTTTCTTAACTGATAAGCTTTTTTTCTTTCCCAATCTATAGACGATCTTAGTTGGTATTCATATTGAAGAAAGCAATCTTAACTGTTATGTAAATCAGAATCTTTTCCACTTGTAACTTTGCAGTATTTCACTTTAGTTAATATGGAATAGTTCATTTAAGTTTTTATTCACATTAACGGTTTGATCTTTCTGCAGAACGATAAAGAGGAAAGAAAACAGGAAAAAGTACGAAAGGATAGTAAAGAAGAGAGCAACAAAAAGGAGGAGAAGCAAACAGATGCTATTAACCATATGAATGGGATGGCAATAACAGCACCAACATCGATTCCCCAAATTAAAACGGAGGATGTTCCTGATGAAACAATTCCTGCTGATGCTCCACCTCCAACATCTCTCAAAAAGGTCCTTCATGTAGATAATGTTATAATACTTCAGTGATAGGAGAAATTGATGACTGAGGGGTTTGGTCAAAATGGATATAGTGCAAAATTCAACCCTTTTTGCTGTGTGATAGCGGGACAAAAAACCCAATGAGCTTTATTTATAAAGCTACTCTTACAATATTATCTTGTGTATTATCTTGTTATTTTCTCTTACGATATTATCTTATTCGTTCATTTCACTCATTTGAAATGGACTTTTTTACAGTATTATTATATAATTTGCAGCAAGCATTTGCGGGCGGACTGGCATTAGCGAGGCGTGATCGAAGACAAAGCAGTTCCTTATTTTTGGTATCTACTAATCGAGAACTTGTGAAACTGCCGAATATAAAAGGTTCGTCACCAGTACTGTCAATTGTTTGATGAAGTTTAGTACAATTTGAGGTATTGCACAGATCTTCCCCTACTGCAGCCCATTACAGTTCACGTTCTAATAAGTATGCTCAAGAAAGAAGTTACACTTTAAGCGTGTCCATATGGTGTTGCCTAATTTTAGACGCTGAACTCAGTGCACAAGAAGAATTGTTTATCCAGAAACTGCGCCAATGTTCGGTCGTTTTTGATTTTGCTGTTGATCCATTGTCGGACTTGAAATATAAAGAAGTTTGCTTTGTATTTTGTTTCATAAGATTTTTTAAAAAGCATATTTTTTTCTTCCAAATGATCAAAAATGTATATTTGTAATGGATAATTATTTTTGTATGTAATCAATTGTAATTTTGGTTTTTTATGCAGGTGAAACGAACGACACTGAATGAACTGACGGATTATATTCTTAGTTGTCAAAATGTTATTACAGAAGCGATATATCCAGAAGTTATTAGCATGGTAAACTTTACATTTATTACGCTGTGCTCATTCAGTGTTCTTTTTTCAGTGCCAATTTTATGCAAATTCAGAAACCAGCAAATCTATAAGAGTGGATTTTTTGCGTTTTTCGGTTGCAAGATATTATATTATTTGCTGACAGCTTTCTTTTAATGCAATATCTACTTCTTTTTTTCGGCGGATTAAGGTCGAAACTTTTAAAACTCTCTCGAAACAGAGAAAGGCGCAAAAATATCTTCGATTTCATCGCAGATTTTATGTCTATGAAGTTTCAAATTACGAGACTTTCAAATTAATTCTTCATTACCACAGATTCATTGCTTATTCAAGACAAAATTTATATTTTCATTTAACCCAATTTATTGGTGTGTTTTAGCTTAGCTCTAATCTTTTTCGCGTCTTGTCTCCACCATCAAATCCAACGGGTGCTGAATTTGATCCCGATGAGGATGAACCCACATTAGAAGCTGCTTGGCCCCATTTACAGGTTTATTTTAAAGATTTGAAGTTTTTACAATAAAAAAGTTGTAGAAATAGAAGCTAAAAAAGATTTCAAGTTTTTTAGGTAGTATTATATAGTTCAATTCAGTTTATTTGTATAATTGGTTAGCTTGCTGGTGAAAGTGCTCAAACTCTTGTAATTAAAGATAGCAGTACTTCACTCACCCAGTTCGAAGGAAATTAAGGTGTAGGATTAGTCCGGGTTCATGTGATTAGTATTCCACATCAAGAAACACGAACAAAATATTTCATTGATTGGCTTTCCAAATTTTAAGAGGGACGCAAAAGGGCTTTTCTTTCCATAACATCGCTAGAGATTTATAGTTACTATGTATGCAATGGGAATAAATTATTGCTTATTCAATTATTAAGTTCGTCGGGAAATTTTTGAAATTTTTATTGCAGTTGGTATATGAATTTTTCTTGCGTTTTTTGGAATCAGCAGATTTTCAACCAGGTGTCGCAAAACGTTACATTGATCAGAAGTTCGTCTTAAAGGTATTGATTTTGTGTCATCCGGGAGACATTGTTAGAATGAGTGGTATTAACAAAGATTTGTCATTGTGTTCTATATATTTGTTTTGCTATCCCAAGTTAAAATAATCTTATGAAGCTTCCATATTTTTGAGTGCTTTTCAAAATAAACTATATCATTCATTTGCATTTTAGCTTATCGAACTGTCCGACAGTGAAGATCCAAGGGAACGTGATTTTCTAAAGACGACACTTCATCGAATCTATGGCAAATTTCTGGGTCTTAGGGCTTACATGAGAAAGCATATAAATAATATATTCTATACATTCATTTATGAAACCGAACGACATAATGGTATTGCCGAGCTTTTGGAAATACTGGGCAGTATCATCAATGGATTCGCATTGCCGCTGAAGGAGGAACATAAAACATTTCTTCTTCGTGTTCTTATTCCTCTCCACAAAGTAATACTGTTTTATCTGTTGCAGTAAATTGCCTTTATTATATCTTCTAAAATATTTATTTTTAAAACATCTCTTTTCTTACCTTCCTCTCTCTTAAATGCTGTCTTGATCTTATATTTAGTCTGTAATGGAAGCTTTAGTGTTATGATGACTCAAAAGCTTTATTTTTTCTATTCTTTGTGGTCTTCATTTAAACGTCAGATACCTTAATTTTTGTAATAACACGGTTCAGTTCAGCACTTAATCTTTTCATTGTTTTAGGTAAAATCGCTCTCTGTGTATCACCCACAGTTGGCATATTGTGTGGTTCAATTTCTGGAAAAAGATCCTACTCTTACTGAACCAGTTATCTTATCTCTGCTCAAATTTTGGCCCAAAGTTCATAGTCCAAAGGAGGTTTGTGATCTATAAATAGTATAAAACAAATCAAAAGATTTAGATTTTTTTTTTGGCAGCACGAAGTTATCTATTTCTCTTCGGCATAGAAAAGGTGACTGACTAGTATTTATTTTGCAGGTAATGTTTTTAAATGAGTTCGAGGAGATCTTGGATGTCATTGAGCCAGCTGAATTTCAAAAGGTTATGGTACCGCTTTTCCAACAACTGACAAGATGTGTTTCTTCACCACATTTCCAGGTTAATATAACTTTTATTAATTATGAAAAGAGGACAGCGAATTAAGATTATCTAACCACAAAATAGTCCGAATGTGAAGGGGTAAAAAAAGAAAGATTTTGATTCTTTATTCATTCTGAAAAGAAACATCATGCTCTTTTACGAAATCTGTATACAATTTTACTTTAGGTAGCCGAAAGAGCTCTTTATTATTGGAACAACGAATATATCATGTCACTAATCAGTGACAACGCTGCTGTAATCTTGCCCATCATGTTTCCGGCACTCTATCGAAATTCAAAAAACCATTGGAATAAGTGAGCAAGTTTTGTCGCTTTTTATATTTGAAAAGGTTGCATTTTTTTTTATTCTCAAGTTGGAGCTACAAACGACGAAAGGAATCAGAAGTAAATAGTTATCTTTAGTAAATCTCATCCGTTATATGCATATATGTAATATCTTTTATAGAACAATTCATGGACTTATTTATAATGCGCTCAAATTATTTATGGAAATTAATCAGAGGCTTTTCGATGAGTGCTCTCAAAATTTTAATCGTGAACGCGAAGATGAAAATGCTAAATTGAAGGAAAAATTATCGAAATGGGAAATGATCGAAAGAAAAGCTCGCCAAAACCCTCAGGTTTGATGAATACAGTACCAAAAATACTACACCTAGCATTAAATATAAGGGATTTTCCAGTATGCTTGAATTATTCCATATCTTATCAGTTTACTTAATGAGAACTGTATATCATTTCAGTTCTCGGAAGTTAGCCAACAGTTGCAGAACACGTGTAGTTCACTAGCGCAGCTTTCGATTAATGAAAATGCGGGAATCGAGCCAGTGGATCCAACTAAAATCAAGCAACAAGCAGCGCGATATGTACGTATATTGTTGCATGTAAATTGACTTTGCTCTTTTGAAAGATTTGCTCTACTTCTCATAAAAGAAAAATTGCTGTACCTTCAGGCGATAGACTATGTCCAAGAACGACCATTGATACGTCGAAAGAGCGAGCTACCATATAATCCAAACGTTGATCGAGCTTTGGATGAACATCGACGACATGAACCTTATTTGTCTACCGTACCACATGAATAGACCACACTGTTTACTTATATGGGCGAATTATCTAGAATGGGTTTTGCTTGGACTGGAGAAGACTATAAGTAATAAATATTTCCATTGCTACTACTGCCAAGATTACTGGGGTGTTCGAAGATATTCTTGATATTTTGAAGTGTGACTGCAAAATTTTGTTATAGTCATCTTCCTCTATTCCATCCGTTTTAAAAGATCTGCCATCAGTCCAGTTTGTCCAGTTCATTACCTTAACTGGATTCTGGCATATCAAGGCAAGAAAATTCCTACATTTCCTTGTCTCTCCGTCAGTACATTAGTGTCTGTATAATGCGTATGTTGCGGAAAGTTTCCGTAGCATCCTGGACATTACTTTCGATGTTGGATCGTTATTTCTCCTTTTGTACTGTTATCCCAAACTCGATCTTTGGCATTTTGTTTTTTAAGCTTTCAATTGTGCTCTTTATCGTACGCCCAATTCAAAGATTCGCCAGTTTGCCTTCCTCGTTGAAAACATTCATTTTTTAGTTTCGAAGCTTATTCTTTGTATAGTTTCCGTGCATCTCATCTCTGCGTACACATCAGCAGAATAGTATGTAATTTTTATAAATGGAAATGACATTTTTTTCGTAAATATTCTCATATTCTGCTATTTTTATAAGGAAGTTTTATGTACTGTTATCTGGGATATGCCGAAGTCAGCTAACTCTTCCCAATATTAATGCCGTTTGTTGTAAAGTCATGTATAATGGGACAAATTCTTTCACGATACTATATGCCCTGTGTGTTTATGCCAAACAACAGTGCATGTATGTATGGCGAATATTGTGCGTTCAAAAGATATACGTTAAGTAAATTTATAGATTGATTTTACAAACAGTTGGAGATTTTCCGATAACATTTAATTGCTGACGAAGTTTTATGAAATACATCCACCATTTTGAGTATTTTATCACAATTAGGTATTGAACTCTTATACTGCAAGGTTTTAATATATTTTGTCCATTGTTGTCATTGTTGATATTTGTTATTATTATTGTTTTTCGCGACATACGCCATTTCTTTCTTGATAGGGATGAAGTTTTTAGAGGTTTTTCACCTCTGATTTCTCCTCTCCAAACCGTATTATGTTGAACATGTTGGATATTGTTCGTATTATGTTGGACATTCGGCGCCTACGCTACTATTTCATCTGCGACCATTACACAGAAAAGCCCTTGCAGCTTTGTGTGTAAATCTTATAAATCTGCGTGTTTCGCTTTTCATTTTTTTTGGGTCAATTTTTTGAAATATTGTAGTGGTCAATTTTTGTCAATTTTTTGAAATATTGTAGTGGTTCGTCGGAGTGTGTAACAATAAGGTTGATATAAGCATTTTGTGTAAATAGAAAAGCTTAAGTTGAATGTCACTATTATATAAAGCCATTATTATGTAAGCATATTTTCCATGTATATTTCTATATTTTTAAATTTTCATTCATTTCTACGATATGCTGAACTTTAATAAATTAGTAACAATTCATCAAGAAAAAGGCATTGGATTAACCTACAAGCGATATCGGTTTTACTGCAGCTGTCGTTGAATTTGCTTAATTAATTTGGAGAATTTATTTCTTCATGAAATCTATTCTGCTAATTTATTGTCAAGGCTAACGCAGAGAGCGTAAAATATGAAGTAACCTCGAATTATCTATCATGCATGTATGAGTGGCGTGGAAACTAAAGTGGAGAGAATAGTTCACCTCTTACGTATTGTATTGCATATTCGACATTTTTTAAGGGTAGATGGCGGGACCCCTACTAATACATTCCGATTTTTAGGATACATTTTCACTAATCCTAACACTTTAAATAATTAAAGAATCAGAAGATATCCTTTTTTCCGGTTTAGATAATTAGTGAAGTGTAATAATGCCTTTGATATATAAGCACAAATCTCAAATGACAAGATGGTCATACGGAATTCTCAAATCATAGAATAACAGACTAGGATGGTGAAAAAAGTTGAGTTATTAGAATGCTCCAGAAATGATCTCTCTCTCTCTCTCTCTCCTATGGTAAATGATAAGGAGTGTTAAATACTTATGTCCCATTGATCCTTTAACACCATAATTCATATGTGTATTTAGCAATATTCAATGCATACAAAGCAAATATTTACAATTAGCGTAGTACAATATCCGTGATCTTTTAATTTATTTGATTGGTTAAGCAAAATATTTGAAATATATTCGTCTTTGTTTTAAATCCTATTCTATTAATGTACGACGGTGATAAAGGATGTAATGTTTTCAAATGGAAATGGATGTAATCATTTGAAAATTTTCATCCAATTGATATCGATTTATCGATTTGTTCAAATTTCCAAAGAACGATGCATAAAATTATCCATTTGAATAGTTTTTAAGTATGTTTGTTGAGTAATAGCGCAATAATATCATTCCAACAGATCTGATAATAGCGCAAAATGCACAAATGTATACAGATAAATTTAATATTATAAAAGCAAATTGAGCATTATCATGTAGATGGAACATCGACTAATTATAGTGATAAGAGAAGTATCACAGGTATATTATATCTTTAATCAAAATTGTTCCCTTCTCCTTCCCCTCCCCCCGCCTTAGTCCAACTACAAATTAATATGGATTGATTAATTCCGGACTAATTTCATTTTAGATTTATATTATTTTGAGCAATTTAATACATTTAATTCGTATCATACAACATTATCCTTTTTTGTTTGATATCAGTCGTTCCATTTCAACAGTCAGGTAATCCTTCGTATTTGCTACTCCATTCCTGAGATGTAATTTTGGCGTATCATTTTTGCTGGATAATTCACTATTTAATCTGCTGCAAATAGTATCATAAGCAATTCCGGAGCACATTTATATCAAATGTTTATAAATAAATAATCATTTCACATTAATATAGCTTAATAACATTCATATACTAATATGCCATTAATTATTAATTAACATTACTTTTATTTTTTCCATTCCTCCCAAAAAAAATGGCACGATTTTTTCAGATTTCAAATTATAGTAATAAATTTTGGTCCAATTTATCCGGCAAACTAAATAATTCATAACTGATTTCTCGGTTGAAAATTATCAATAAAAGGAGATCTCTTTAGACTGTTGCAAATTACTGGTAGGAATAAATTCCTCAACTGTAAATTATCGACACGAAAAGATATCTCGTTTGTAAATTACCAATGAAAAAAGTAAGCTATTGTAGTTCGTTTTAAATTTAACAAAATGAAATAAATATTTCACCAAGCGGAATTATATGTATAAAGTTGGAATTATATGTATTAATAATGAAGCGAAATATGTACGATTTTCGATGTATCGAACTAATCCGCGAAATTGTTGAACCAAAAGCACTACTAAATGGAGCACTGAAACGTGGCATTTGTGATTGCTTCTTCCTTTTTGTTAGCCAAAAGAAGAGCAATGGATTCCAAATGACCGTTGACATTGCAATCGCATGAGCTACTAATGGCCAGAAGAATGGTTGATCTAAGAGAAATTGTGGCTCCAAGTCTAAAAAAATCGAATAGCATCATTGCATTCTAATCCACGGAATGGATAACTTTCTCAAATAACTATTTTCATTTCTAAAAAAAATTACATTATGGATTAAGGAGGATTGACGATTGATATCTTATAAGTTAATATAGTAAAACTAAACGGCGCAAATGATCGAATTGATTATCATTTTTAAAATTTCTTAAATAAGGATAGTTAGCAATTTTAAAATGAAAATTAAATATGAGAAGAAATAGAGGAGGCTTACTGAAATCTTTCAGCACATTAACGACGGTAAGAGGAAGCCAACAACCAATGAATGCAATTACCATACCAATAAGTATACAATTAACCTATAAATAACTTTTCAGGTAAGATCAATCGTAATCTTTTCCAACTTTTTCGTTTCAAAAATTTGAAATTTTAATTTAATCAAATTCGTTAAATATTAACAAAAAAATTTTTTAGTGATTGCTTAAAATTTCCACAAATGCAAATCATTGTATATTATATATTATATATAGTATTTATTGTATATTGTATATTAGTATTTCATTTTTTATCAATAAATCAATCATTGCTAAATTTATATTCCAACAAAACATTCTTTTCAAATTTTATTGATTGATTAAGATAATAAATAATTTGAGAGAATTATCAGAATTATCAGAAAAATTATCACATTTACCTCTAGTCTATCTTTTCAACGATATTTAAATGAAAATTTAAATTTCTATCACTTACTCGTTTCCTTCGATTTGTTGCTTCTTCACGTTGAGCAATTGATAAACTTTTACTAAATTGCACATTTCGAATAATCATATCACGAGCAACTTTTGCTGATATTCGAGCATAACAATATGTTATGATCGCTAATGGAATAATAAACTAAAACAAATATTTTTCATTTGCATTTTTGAAGAAAGAAAGAAAATAAATTTTATTTGTAAAAAAATATTGAATGCTAAAAGAAAAATTGATTTTTGCTAGAAGAAGGAAATATCTCTTAATTATGCTTAGCAACACGATTAAACTTTGTTACCTCAAATTTAACTCATTATAAATTTACCTGTAATAGAACAACAGCTGATCCATATAGACGTCGAGGTGTCTCACCATTCCAATTAATTTCATCACAAAAAAAGCCACAAAATGGTGTAGTATTATTTGGTACATAATATGCACCATCAACAAGTTCATAGCTCATAAGATATGGTATATTAATCATTGCACTAACTATCCAAATAAAAGCAGTAACTAGGCCAGCTTGACTGATAGATACAGGTGCCCGAATTGGGCCCATTATATGCACAAATTTATCAATTGCTATAGCTGTTAAACTCCAGCTGAAATTTTAAAATAATGATTTCAGTTAATAGTTTGATATTGTGATAAATTTGGTAGTCGATAAATTAGGTAATCGAAAATTTGGTAGTATGAAGAAATTAAAACTATCCGATTTCACTATACTTTCAATTAGTTTTCCAATTCAGGTCAAATATAATTATTTGACCGCTTAATATTTAATATTATGTTCTAAAAAAAGATCAAATGGATTCTGATCGTTTTCCTTGTCTTTATGAAATGATAACTTATCTAAATATCATCTTAATAGTACTTTTCAAAAGATAGCTTATCTTCTTTTATTTATCTCCCAGTTATTTCTAACTTTACTTTTTTAAAAAGTGAATTTAAAATTCATCATTACAAATATTATACTAGAATTTTTGAAAAGTAATTATTTTACTTTAAAAGTTATCATTTCATTATTACGCTATCATATATCTTTCTGTTGAAGTGTAAAGTAAGAGTTTAAGTTATTCTAAGGCCATTAAATTATTCTTACAATTGCAATTTGTGAATTTGTGATTGATTACTTTAATTAAATACATAAAATGCCTCATTCACTAGTAATCAAAATTGAGGATACATATAAGTTGTGGAATGAGATTTACACTAACGCTCACTTCAAATCTGTTGCAATATTAGTAAACTATAAGTAATAATTAATTTTAAATTAATTATTAGTAAACTATAAGTAATAATTAATTTAAAATTAATTCTATTCCACATCAGCAAAAAATGGATTCTTTTTGTTATCACCAAGAACTAAAAATAATTATTCATCCATCTATTGATAAGGCTTTATTCCCATTTTGTTAGAAATGATTACATATGGATTCAATCAACTAATATTAAACTGATAATGTTCTTTTCATATTTCGCATTTAGCAAGAATGATAATATCATCTATCTGAATTGTTAACATTTGCTAAAGTTAATTAACACTAAATTAACTAAATTCAATTTTGATTCATTAATTCTATTTGATTATCACACGATGATTTTACTTTAAAGTAAAATTAGAAATTATTTCAGGTAGGTATGGTTAGGTATATAATTGAAAGGCAACATAAGAATTGAAAAGTAAACACTTTATCAAAATTTTCTTTCTTTCTTTCTTAATTAGTTAAACAAAAAAAATATAATTAAAGCCAATAAATTTCACTAATTTCTCCTCTTTAATTTGTGCTATAAAAAGTCAAATCAGAATTGAGAAATGGAAATGAAAGAAAGTATGAGAAATGAAAAATTCGCGGAAGAGCAGTTGGAAAAAAATTAATCATCGGTAATTATTGATTTATTTCGACATTTCAATTAATGAAAAAGAATAATTGATAAAAAAGTACCAATGCTAATAATTTATCAATTCATAGATTATATTAAAATTGTATGATTTATTATTTTTTCAACTGTCAACATTATCATGAAATTTCGTTAGAAGTTTCAAAATCAAATTACTCATTGTTAATGAAATATAAATTTTATCAATAATACCTAGCCATTCAAATTATTATCATTTATTATTATCATTTATGATAAGATTCTATTCAAATTAATTATTTATGATAAGATTCCATTTAAATTATTATCATTTATGATATGATTCTATTCAAATTATTATCATTTATGATAAGATTCCATTCAAACTATTTATTTATGATAAAATATTCCCAAACTAAGTTTTTACTTAACTTTAACCCTTAAAAAAATTTGATATCAGAGTTAAGCAAAATAAAAAAGAATATATATCAATATATATTTTATGTTGCAATAAGTTTTGTTCGATCGCTTCCTTTAATTCACCTATAGATAATTAATTAATCAATATTTTGATGAAAAAAATATTTTCAGGAAAAATATTAAAAAGAAAAGAAAAAAGATTGCTATAACTATCCATTTCAAAATGATAATTTGATACTTTGAGTGAAATAATTTGACACTTTGATATAAATTTTAAGAATTTGAAAAAATGAGGACAAAAAATTACTTAACTTACCTGGCAACAAAAACAGAGCATGAATTTGAGAGTGGCATTAAATGGCACATTAATGCACCAAATGTCCAGTTTTTTGTTAATGCATACCACGGTGTTACAGGTATAGCGGTAACACAAAGTAATAAATCGGTAATAATTAAATTGAGCAAAAAAATATTTCGAGCTGAACGTAATCGACGATTTTTGACAAATGCAATCAGAACACTGCCATTACCGATAATACCAATAGACATTAGAAGACCGTAAAGTAACGAAAAGAATATTTCAATGATCAACCATCTGTAAATAATTTATATTACTTCATCCTGTTTTATTTTAGGAGGAAAATGAAATAAAATATGTAAAAAAAGGAAAATAATAAATAGTATTTCTTCAAATGGAAAAAGGCTAAGAAAGAGAAGACATAGAATAGAAAAATAGTCTTTTATTTGAAATTTGTATGAAGTATAATTATTTAATGAAAATTAAATTTAAACATATCATAAGTAGTTGTTTACTTTTTTTGAAATTAAGTTATAAATATGTGCTGAAGAAGAAATATGAAAATAATTGAAAAATCAATAAGAACTTAAATTTTACCTCAGATGTTACTTTATTAAGATTGTAAAGGTTATTAAGGTTATTACTCAATAAGGTTAAAGTTAATAAGATTCTCTCTCAATAAGGTTAAAGTTGATAAGATTATTACAATTAAACGTTATGCTTCTTTCACTTAAATGAATGCCGAAATGTAATTTCGAAGCTTTGCATTTCGATTTCATCCATTTGATTAAAGCTAAGCAATTTTTAAGACCAAAAATTTGTTCAGCAAGTCGCAAATTCATCTTCACATAATTTATGTTATCACATTTCCATAGAATTTCAGTTTAGAGCAAAAAAAAAGCTTCATTTAATTTTAAGTGATAAATACGAAACAATTTAGTTTAATGGGAAATGTTAAATGTTGTTTAAATGCAATTCCTTCTTGTGATTCAAATGTTGCTTTTGATATGATTACAAATAATCAGCTATCAGTTTTTTATCAATTTCATATCTCTTCTCTATCATTCAATATGAACTTCTAATTGAACTATCAAATGCTTTTTCTAACGCAATAACATAAAGATTCCGGAAGTTGTTTCGGAAAATTATTCCAAATAATCCGATGATCCCCGCGATTATCACAATTCATACATACGTCTCGTTTGCATTTAGGCATTGAACGAAATAATTCATTTCAGCTTTGATGATAATGATGATTATTTTTAACATATCATATGTTATGAAATGTTTGAATGATAAAAAAGCGTGAATTATCATCTCAAAATTTCTCCCTCAATCTATTACTGATTGATAGCTTCTTTGAAATTAACTTTCCGAAATTTGTTCTTTGATATTTTAGTTTTATTTAAAATTTTTTGTTTACAATAAAAAGAGATTTTTGGCTTTCTTTACGAATTATTAATTATTATCATATATAATTAATATAATTAGCCTAATTTAATGATTATTTTTATCAATATTTTGTATGTTAGACATTAGGAAAATAGAAAAAGTCATTTCTTGAATAATTTCCTGAATTTTTGAATAATTCCTGAACAATTCTACCGGATGTTTCAAAAGTCATTGAGTTATTCAATATGTTATAACTTTAACTGTCAGTAATTATCATATGTATTTTTTATGCTAACAACTTATTTCTATTCAAATCAACTTTTGCTTGAAATTATTGCCACATTGAAAATATTTATTTACACAATCCTACATGAACAACTGACACTTAATTCTTATTGTTAGAAATGTTTAATTTCATTTCTTCAATTTTTATATCAACAAAGACTCCTACCTCAAAGAATTTGGCACTAATTAATTGGCTAACTTCAATACCACTTCAGTAATTAGCTATTAATTAAAAAGTTACATGAAATAATACTATTAATTTTGCCGCTTCATCATTTCTAACCATTTGTTTGCTAAGATTGCTGATTACGAGAAGCTGTCACAAATTAATTAATTATAATTTTGATAGTAATATTTTTTGTTTACAGGAATGAAAGCAATAATTGCGGCAATTATATGAGGAAGACAATAAGCGCTCATAGTGAGACCATAAACGCTTTCTGGTGAACCATTTTTCTGCCTGAAGTTCAAAGTTCAAAAAAGAGGATCTTTTAAATTTTTCAGCAAAAAAATCAATAGAGTTGAATAAAGTTCTAAGTAAATGTACAGCTGGCAATAAATGGATTTTACTACATCATTACTGTCTATTAAACGATTTCATAAATAGCAATGATTTCACTATAAAGGGTTTGAGTTTGAAATAAAAAGTTGAATTTTGAAGTTTGGATAAAAGAAATTTCAGATCATTCAAACAAATAATCAATAACAAAAAATCAATACATTAAGCCATTTTTACTTCTAATTTAACGTACCATACGTTAAAGCTAATTGATCTTATCACTAATATCAGATCGATGAATGTAATCTTTCAATACTGATAACAATCTAAGCTTTTGTTCAGGTTTGCTTGTTCATCAATCAAAAAGTTGATTGACTTTAATCCTAAACGTGCGGATCCTTTTTACTGATATGTCAAATTTTTTATCATAATTAACACTCAATGCATTCAAGTTTATCAATCAATGCTTTTTTTTCTCTTTTAAATTTTTGAAAAATTTTAGATTGAAATTTTCATAAATTGATTAATTTGATTATTCTAAAGTATGATATTGGAAAACTCAACAGAGTTAATTTTTGATTTTTTCCTTTTTTAAACATTTTGATAATCTCTCTCCCTCTCTTTCCCTTTCTCCCTTTCCCTCCCTCTCTCCCATATTCCTTTAGGAATTAAAGGAGAAAATTTTTGTTGTCAAAAAATAAATATTGAAAAATTTCAAAAATTTACAAACAATATTGATTGATAAAGTTAAATTAATTTGAGTGATAAATTTGATAAAAATTTGATATATCAGAAAAGAAGGAAATGATAGGATTGATTCTTTGAGTTTATATGAAATTGTATGAAAATGAATTTATATGAAATGATGGATTCTTTAATATTTCATATAAATTTCAAAAATTAATTTTTGAAACTTTCCCTTTTCATTGATTTATTTCATTTCTTAAAATTATCAAAAATGATAAAATACTATCAGATAAAATTAAAAAATAAAAATCAAATTCTTTTTAGAATAAATTATATAATTAATTTATATTATTAGCATTGAATATATCGATTTAATTTAAATATAAATAATATTTATTTAACTAAAATATACCAAAATTATTGAATATTTTTTTATGGTTAATTTTTAACTATTATGGCTAATAATTATGGCTAATAATTTAACAATATTAATTAGCTTTTTTTGTTTAATTACTAAATGAATTACTAAATGATTGTTATTCTCTCTTTCTCATAAAAGTTAATTGGAAATTTTAAACTTTTCCCATTCTATAAAGGAGAAATATGAATAGTTAAAGAGAGAGTGAGGATGAGGAAAAAGCAAAACATATTTAAACTTATAGGTTAATTGGAAATGTTTGAATAATAGTAATAATATCAGTAAACAAGCTATAATGTATCATCTTGTTACTTCCTATTTTCTTTCCTCACCTTTTATTATCTAAATTATCATTCAACTCTTAACAATAATCAAATGTATCCATTTTTAAGTATTTCAAATGCTCAAGGTTCAAAGTTCAAAGTGCAACTTTTAATCGATAAAAAAGCGAAATTTAATGTGTTTAGATTATGTGCCCATTTTTTAAGTATTTGAAATGCTTAAGGTTCAAAGTTCAAAGTGCACAAATATTGCAATTTTTAATTGATAAAAAAGAGAAACTTAATATATTTAGATTATGTGTCCATTTTTTAAGTATTTCAAATGCTTAAGGTTCAAAGTTCAAAGTGCACAAGTATTGCAACTTTTAATTAATAAAAAAGAGAAATTTAATATGTTTGGATTTAATTTGAAGCTTTATATATTATTTCCCTTATCAAATATATATATTCATATTTTATTTTCGAACTGAATTGGCCTTATTTGGCCTATTTTTAGCTAACTTTTCAATAGCCTTATTTGAGGTAACTTTTTGAAATAAAATTTGCAATATAAATTTTTATTTCAAATCCAATAAAAGAAAAAAAAGAGAAGTTTGAATTGTTCGACCAAAATTGGCATAACTTTAAAAGAAAAAAAAACGAAAAATAAGCCTAGGCCAAATGTTCGTTTTCTTTTTTTTCCCATTTGGCTCAAATCTTTTGCCTAAAATTTAGGCTTTTCAAAAATTACTTTTTGTGTGTGAGAGAAACAATTGAATGCCTTAAAAAAAAAGAAATTATCCGTTAGAATTTTTTCATCCTTTTCTAAGTATGCAATTTTTCCCCTAATAGAAAATTATAAATAAGCTATAACATTAATGCCAGCTTCATCTAAAATTTCATTCTATAAGTTAAAATTCATTCACTTCCTATGCATAATAATATAGATCATTTAAGAATATTTGAAACGGTGTGAGAAAAAGAAAAAAAAAGGAAGATTATGTAAATTTTAAAAATATTTTACAAAGCAATCAAAACAACTACCGTAATTTGAATTATACTTATTATTCTAATATTTTTGTTAAATTTATAATAACCAAGATTATTTCGAATTTTTAATTTTAAATCATTTCAAATTTAGTTCAAGGCTTCTTCTTTCATTAAACTTTTAGTAGGAAAGAGAGAGAGAGAGAGAGAGAGGGAAAAAGAAAGAAAGAGAGAAAAATTTTTTTTATTGGATTTTTGTTATTTTAAATCGTAAATGGATGAATTAAATTAAATTTTACTAAAATTTATATAGCTGGCACTTATTTTCTCCTATCAATACTAACAAACTTCTAATGAACAATTTAATTATTTGCTATAGTTAGCATAGAAATTACTTGAAGAAAATACACTTTACACTAATCGATTGCACAAAAAATTCTTTTTCCTCACTTTTATAAATAAACAAAATTTCAAATATGCTCAAATAAACAAATTAAAACAATTAATTAAGTAGAAAAAGGTAATTAAAAAATAATAAATATAATTGACAGCTATATGATAAAAATTTCTAATCAGAATGATAAAATTTCTATATGATAAAATTTCTAATTTGAATGATAATAAAACACTAACCTTGTGATATCATTAATACCTCGTGCTGAGATTGCTTCAGTAATTTGTATACATTTGATATCATCATCCATGCGCAGTTATCACACAAAC